AGGTTGTTTTCCATCTGTAAACAGAACTATTTCTGGCAAATGCTTCCAAATGCAGGTGGGAGAAAAGAGGACTAACGTTCTTGGCATAGTAATCAGCACTAAGGCACCATGTAAAGGTTTATAGGTCAATAGAGCTTGTACTGAATAAGACTAGGTTATCATAAAGTAAGTCTCTATGCCCTTTTCTTTCTTTTGCTTGATTATAAGAGAAGAGAAACCAGAATTCAATACCCATCTCCTTATCATTTTAATAAATTAGGGAATAGGTGCAACATTTTTTTTCACAGATAAAAGTAGGGTAATTGTGTAAAGTACTCTTGAGAGTTATGTATGTGTGTGTGTGAGTGTGTGTGTGTGTGTGTGAGTGTGTGTGTGTGTGTGTGCTCTGTCCCACCATTCCTAGCGGGAGCCCTGAGAACTCAGATGTGCACTGGGGTCAGCCACATGCCAAGTGCAGATCCAAGTGCCCTGGCCAAATGGATAAACCACTTCCTAACTTTACCCATCACTAGAGCCAAAATTAAAGTGCTTCTGCAGAACTGGTTGAGGAAATGAAGGACCTACTAAGAAGGCAAACAAGAAAAACCCACAGGTGACTTTAAAAGTGCTGTCTTTGCCCAGCCAATGTTGCTCAGTGATTGAGCCTCGACCCATGAACCAGGAGAGCACAGTTTGATTCCCAGCAGGACACATGCACGGTTGGGGTTACAGGCTCAATGTCCTGTGGGGCGTGTAGGAGGCAGCCAATCAATTATTCTCTCTCATAATTGATGTTCCTATCTCTCTCCCTCTCCCTTCCTCTCTGAAATCAAATATATATATATATATACACACTAGGGGTCCAGTGCACGAATTCGTGCACCTTGAAAAGAACTGTGGGCCGCAAGGCTGCGATGGACACAGGGGCGGGTCTCGGCCCATCCTCCGCACCCACTCCTGACCCCTCCTGATGCAGCCCCTGGTCACTTGTCTGCCAGCATCCCATCTGTCACTGCCACTCCCACGCACTGACAGCACCGGCCCTGCTCACTCCCACTGCCAGCGTGGATGGATTGGGGCCAGTGTCAGCAGCGGGTACGAATGGCGGCTGCTGCCCCGATTGCCCCTCAGGAGCAGGGGGTGTTGGAGAAGCCCTTAGGGGCGATCGCGGCTGGCAGCTGCCACTTGCACCTGCTGATAGCACCAAGCAATCGGGAATGGCGGCGGGTGCCAGCAGCAGGTGCAAGCATTGTGCTGGACTGTGGCATGTGGGAGCAAAGAATTTTCAATAACCACCAGAAGCTCGCTCTGATGACAGTGACTGGCACTTCGCCTCGGTCTGGCGCCCCTGCTCACCTGTTCCACCATCCCACTGTGGCTGATGACCTGCATGTTCTGTGCTCTGCCGCCTGCTACTGATGCTTGCCATGTTCCACATGCGCCCCCTGGTGGTCAGTGCACGTCATAGCGATTGATTGTTGGGTTGGTCCGCTGTTTGGTCTATTTGCATATTAGCCTTTTATTATATAGGATATATGTTTAAAGTGCTGTCTTTAAATCATTCCTCACCACTGGGGGCTGCTGTGGTTGGTGACAGGGTCAGTACTGATGCTGATTCTTGTAGGCCAGTGGTTCTCAAAGTGTGATCCCAGGACCAGCAATGTGTTAGAAATGTAAATTCTTTATACCTTTTGCCAAACTTCCAGTTATAAATTAGTATGGGGTTGTAATGTACAGCATGACAACTATGGTTATTGTATATTTGAAAAAAATCCATTCATAAGAAAATTAAAAATATAAAACCCTGCTAGGTAAAAAAAAAAAAAAAAAAAAGTAAATTCTTGGGCTCGACCCCAGACCTAATGAATCAGAAACTCTGGATTATTAAAGAATCGTCCTCTTAGGTGGCTGATGACCTGCATGTTCTGTGCTCTGCCGCCTGCTACTGATGCTTGCCATGTTCCACATGCGCCCCCTGGTGGTCAGTGCACGTCATAGCGATTGATTGTTGGGTTGGTCCGCTGTTTGGTCTATTTGCATATTAGCCTTTTATTATATAGGATATATGTTTAAAGTGCTGTCTTTAAATCATTCCTCACCACTGGGGGCTGCTGTGGTTGGTGACAGGGTCAGTACTGATGCTGATTCTTGTAGGCCAGTGGTTCTCAAAGTGTGATCCCAGGACCAGCAATGTGTTAGAAATGTAAATTCTTTATACCTTTTGCCAAACTTCCAGTTATAAATTAAATAAGTATGGGGTTGTAATATACAGTATGACAACTATGGTTATTGTATATTTGAAAAAAAATCCATTCATAAGAAAATTAAAAATATAAAACCCTGCTAGGTAAAATAAAAAAAAAAGTAAATTCTTGGGCTTGACCCCAGACCTAATGAATCAGAAACTCTGGATTATTAAAGAATCGTCCTCTTAGGCCGGTTCAGCTGCTGCCTTGTAAGAAGTGGGGAGGAGCGGTGAGGGGGACAGCTGGGAACCGAATGATTGGCAGCCCCTGGCCTAGTCAGAGGGAGGCAACCTTGCGTGCTAACATCCTAAGGGCCCTTCCGTGTCCAAGTGACTTCTCTTCCATGTGCTCCTCTTGCCTTTCTGGGGTTCTTGTTCCAGGCCTTACCCCCATCCTTTGCAGTGACTTCCCAGGGGCTGCGATGAGCAACAGTACTCAGGACTTAAGCAGGTAGAAAAGTCTAGAAGACATTTCAGGATGGCACAAAGGCCCGAGTAATAAGTATGGGGTTGTAATATACAGTATGACAACTATGGTTATTGTATATTTGAAAAAAAATCCATTCATAAGAAAATTAAAAATATAAAACCCTGCTAGGTAAAATAAAAAAAAAAGTAAATTCTTGGGCTTGACCCCAGACCTAATGAATCAGAAACTCTGGGTTATTAAAGAAATGTCCTCTTAGGCCAGTTCAGCTGCTGCCTTGTAAGAAGTGGGGAGGAGCGGTGAGGGGGACAGCTGGGAACCGAATGATTGGCAGCCCCTGGCCTAGTCAGAGGGAGGCAACCTTGCGTGCTAACATCCTAAGGGCCCTTCCGCATCCAAGTGACTTCTCTTCCATGTGCTCCCCTCACCTTTCTGGGGTGTTGTTCTTGTCCCAGGCCTTTCCCTACTCCTTTGCAGCGACTTCCCAGGGGCTGCGATGAGCGACAGTACTCAGGACTTAAGCAGGTAGAAACGTCTAGAAGACATTTCAGGATGGCACAAAGGCCCGAGTTGTTGAGGATGGTGTAGCCTCGTGTATGTGTTTGGACCTGTTGTTTGGAGTTGCCAAAGGAGCCCTGTGTGTGGTTCTCTTCCTGTGGTCGCAGGCCCGCAGGCTCT